TTCATATGTATCATTAAGAGGGGAGCACATTGATGGGCTTCCCTTAATGCTCCTGAATTCTGCTGAACACCTAGCAGTGTTTGGCCCTGCCGTTGAAATCTGCAGTCTCCGTATGATTGCTTCCAGATTTTGCAAGGAGAAAGAGAACCAAGCCCTGGTCACATGAATTTACAATACTCTATTCTGTATCCCACGAACCTTCATTGCCTTCTGTTTATCAGGAAGAGTCCTTTACACGTGCATTGAAGACCTTATTATCTGAGCAATCCCAAACACCCTTTTCCAAAAGTCGTATAGCAAATACTGCACAATTCTCTGTTTGAGGGTGTGGAGGAAAAGCATTTTATTGAAGGATCTCTGAGTGTGTCAGCGAAGGGGTGGGGACAGCAATGAAGTCTGATGCCTGTGGCCTGACTGGGATCTTCCCGACCTCCCAGCCATCAAAAGGCAGTTCTCTTTTATAACTATTGTGTTTACAGCTTAAGAAATGTGGATTGACATCTCTATCTGATTTCTTGTTTTATTTTGCAATGAAATGATAATAATTGAGAAGCCAAAGTTGAGTTTAATGTACACAGAGCCCGGAAGAGAAAAGGACCTATTGCACTGTATTTCTTACACTATAAATATAATAGGTCTTCAAAGAGAATGCTTCACGTTATGTGTGATTGACTTAGGAAAACTTCACTTAAGTTATATAATGAAATATGCAAGCTAAAACATAACATTTTTCAGAATGTTTCAACTTCGGCCCGAAGGTTATGCCATGCACTTTCTAGATATTTGAAATGTTTAGGCTTTATTGACCATGTGTTTTGAAAATAATATATTTTTAATTGTTAAAAAAATCTGTAGTCTTGTTAAAAATAAAACTCACTGAAATGTGAACAGAAGATTTATTCTGAGCAGTTATTCTATATGCATATACAGATGCAGTTTTTATTCCAGAAAAAGCAAACGACTGGAAGATGCTAGGTACAATGCGGTTTATAAAGAGAAGACGAAGGGGAAATACAGTTCAAATAGTGGCTAATGGTAACATGGCTGATTGAACCCTGCCCTCCCCTTTTACTGAGATCAATCACAGCCATACCTTTTTTTTTCTCCTTTAAAATCTTTTTTATTGTACTTTAGGTGAAGGTTTACAGAACAAATAGTTTCTCATTAAACAGTAGTATACATATTGTTTTATGACATTGATTAACAACCCCAGGACATGTTAACCATCCCTTCTCGGATTTTTTTTTTTTTTGGTGAAAATATTCATAACCAAAGATATACCATTTCAAAAATTTCTACATGCACAGTTCAGTGAGGTGGATTACATTCTTCCATTTGTGCTGCTCTTCTTACTTCAGATGAAGGTTTACAGAACAAAATAGTTTCTCATTAAACAGTACACATATTGCCCTATGACAATGGTTAACAACCCCACTACATGTAAACACTGTACTTACTCAACCTTGGATTCCCTATCACCAGCTTTTCTGTCCCCTTCTGCCTTCTAGTCCTTGTCTCTGGACTGCTGTGCCTCATCAGTCCCGTTTTGTTGTATGGGGCTATCCAA